ATCAATATTATCATCAAAGAATAAAAAAAATCTGACATTAATCTCGTTTTAATCAAAATGTCGTAATTATAACTTGATCTCGATTATTTAATTTAAATAGCAGATTTTTAGTGCAAACCGAATCGCGAACTAATACTTTGTCTCACTTCACATATCAAGTGAAACGTTTAGAATGACATAAGATCCAAAAAACGATGATTTCAACATACAATTAATATTGAAATCAATATAATAAATTTATTGAATTCTTACAATTATGCACACATTTATTTTTAATAAATATTCATATTATATATATAATTTTAAAAACTTTATGCATATTTATTGAAACAGGCGAGCATATAATTCATATTTCCAGTCTATTAGAATTAGAATATTTTGATTTGAAAGATAAGAGGAAACGCGTTCACAATTAAAAAAATAATTGTGCTACTGATGTAATAAAAAAAATAAAAAAATATATACACATTTAATTATTTTTAATTAGCGGTTTGCAGTTTGCCGAGTTAATATGTAATTCAAGCAACATGATCACGGCAAAAATTCAAGTTAATTAAAAAATAAATTTTGTCATAACCGAAATATTTAATTGATGGCATTTAAATTACCAGAACGAAAAGTTAATACGTGATCGCTAAAACAACAACAAAAATTTAAAAATAACAATTTCTTTAATATAATAATTACTGAATATTTAAAAAACATTGTCTTAATTCTGTATGCATTTATCATTTTTGTCTTAAAGTTTCGTTACGTTTTCTGTAACGTTTCTGCAAATAATATCATTTTATGCTATTTCTTGCTCTCTCATAATCGTTCCTCCTTTTCCGCAACACATTGCTAAAAGCATCCTCATAATTCCTCTTCTACAAGCAGAACCTATAACTTTTCGTCTGCAGCAGAAGTCTCGATCCCATTGCACTTATCATTCCTATCCGGAAAAAATCAACAATTTCTCGGTACCATATTGTGTCTCTGTTACAGCTTCTCCATGGCACGTGCAAAAGACATTGCGTATTGCGCGTTTCGCGTAATC